CAAATGCACTGAGAAATTTTCGCGATTCAAGGGAGTTGAAAGGAGTTGTGAGCAGAGTTAATTTCGAGTCTCAACGTCCATAATAAATACGAACGATTATAAAATTCGATTTACAAATGGAACTCTGTACAATAAGCTTAAAGAAAAAGTCAAAGAGGTTTTCTTCATGAAGATGTTTCCTTTGAGTTTGAGACAAATTATCGGATTTGATTTACAGGTTCCGTTCTTATAGGTTACCCCCACACTAAAAGTTCCCTTCCATCAAGAATTCAATTTCGTGAATGGGTTTTCCGAAAATGCTTAAATAAGAGAAAAAACTACTTAGAAGTAAAGAGAATAAAGGAGACTGAAGGTGTTAGAGAGAGGGACGGATCAAATTTTAAACTTACACTTTAGCTCTTTCTAATTCTGTTTTTGAGCAATTTTTCCTATGATTGAGTTTATCACATACTTTTCTAATTTAAAATGTTTGTAAACTTCAGTTTTGCTGGACTCTTCATGGGTGTATAGATAAAGCAATTACAAAAATCACTAATCAATTCTCCTGCTGGTTTGCGGAAGGGCTACTATTTATGTAGCCAACAACTCTTAACTCTAAATCTACCCGCATAAAGAGCAGTAAAATAGTTAGTGAAACTTTTGAGTGAAGAAAGGCATACAATGCTTGATTTAGAAATTCATCATTTTTCGCATGTAACACTATAGATTACCAAAAACTTGTTTGAGTCATAAAGATATAGAGGGTTCACGATTTTTGTAGAAATAAATAAATCCTAAAACATTCTCAAACATAATCATCTAATTCATTTTTTCCTCTATGACTAACTGTACTATTACAATTACGCTGCCTTTTAAAAGTTGGTTGCGTTATCCTTCGTAGATATTCAAGAATTTGAAAATTCAAGTTTTAATCCTGACGCATAAATAACTTTTCCATGAAATATTAAGGAAGGAAGGCACAGCTTTGAAGGATTAAAAGTAATTATCAGGAGACTCTACTAATATGTGTTTCTCACAAATGAGAGTAGACGTTTTCTATTAATGTGGAATTCCTTAGAATTTTAGAACTAGACAAACCAAGCATTGTGATGTAGAAGAGAACAAATGTGCAGTCCAAGAAGTTACATCCTTACAATTAATCCTCATCTCTCATTCTGTTCTGCCTACAATAACCGGTTAGTCGAAAAAGTAGCTTAGCGAGTCAAAAACGAATATTGACGCATAGTTGAATCGTAGAGACTACAAAACAAAAATGCACACTTCAAAAACGTGTTTCACATTGATTTAATAGAATTCAAAGCATACAATCGCATGTTCTGCTCTTTGCGATGCCGTAACTGCAATCCCACTTATTTGATCTCAAAAGTTAAAACTGTTGTTGCAACCGGTTTCTGTAGAACAAATGATTGCATAGGGCTTTGCCTAAAAGTAGAATTCTTGAGAAATTTGCAGACTATAAATCTGTTGAGAAATGCGATGTAGATAGTCTAATTTATGAAAAATATAAAGCGTTCAATGCATACATTTTAAAACTAACATTTAATCAACAAAAGGTGTAGAACTTTACAGGTTCATAGGTGAGCTTAAAAAATAAGAAGATAAGAAAATGAGTTGTGAATCTAAGAATAAGTATGACTGGCTTCTATTTGAAAAAAAAATCTTATGATTTGTTTTTTTTTTCAAAATATCTCCTGTTCTCTGATTGACCGTCGTG